ACGCTTAGCAAAAATGACTGTCGAGCACCATCCCCCGCTTCCCTCATCCCTGCTGCACTGAGACAAACTCTGGCCCAGACTATGCCCCTAGGATGAGCCCAGGGCTCTTTAATGTGCCCACCTGAGAAAGTTTCACTGCCAAATGAATTTACTGCTTACCCCGCCAAGACCTGACTATAGGCCCCTGATTCCCTTCTCATACAGCATTTAATTCATTTATGTTTTTAAGGGAGTCTCGCCCTATTGTCCAGGCTGGGCTTGAACTTATGAGTTCAAGTGATCCTCCTGCCTCAGCCTCCTAAGTGGCAGGACTACTGGTTCCCCATTGTGCCCAGGCTGAGCATTTAATTTAGGAAGTTTGCAGTTATAAATCCTTTCCCTGACTCCATGAAATGTAAATCTTCTACCTCCTAGAAACATCTCTTCAAGGACAGAGAAACTGTCTCTTTAAAATACAAACCTCCGGGGAGATGGTCCTCCTGCCTGGCACCCACTTCTGTGGGAGAGTAAGAACCTGTCTTTGATGGTTGCCTTTCTTCAAGCTGCAAAATTATCTCCTATCCCAAAGTTATGAGAAGTTTGTGTCTCCTGCATAAGCCTGTCCTTTAACATATCCCAGCACCTAGAGAAGCAACAAAAGGCCTTTCGCTCTTGGTGTGGTGGTGCCTCCTTCTAATTCTAGCCACTCAGAAGGCTGAGGCGGGAGGATTGCAAGTTCAAGGTCAACCTGAGCCAACTTAGTAAGACCCTGTCTCAGAAGAAAAAGAACTGGGGATATGGCTCAGTGGCAAACACTCCTGGTTCAACCCCAGTACCAGAAAAAAAAATAATTAAATAAAAGACCTTTTGTTTGACGAGCTCAGCTCAGTTTACATTGAAGTCTCTCTCCTTTGCTGCACTACAGAGTAAACTCAGCCTTACCACCTTTAATATATGTCTGATTCTGCTTGACACATTGATGGTAAGCCTTGATTCATGAGAAGGAACTTTACTAGGTGCAGTGGTACACACCTGCAGTCTCAGCTACTCAGGAGGTAGAGGTAGGAGGATCACTTGGATCAAGAGTTTGAGGCTAGCCTGGGCAACATAGTGAGAGACCATGTTAGGAGGAAGGAAGGAAGGAAAAAAGGAAGGAAGGAAGGAAGGAAAGAAGGGAGGAAAGGAGAGAGAGAGGAAAGAGGAAAAAAGACCAACTCTGCAAAGAGGAAATACACAACAGGCGGAGGAAATACACTGCAGGCAGTCTTTTGTCAAAGACTGCAATGACACATTTGGTATGACGAACAGTCTCTCTAATGTCACTGAAGATTTGCATTTATACCTACAGAGAAGAATACATATGCGGAGAAAGTCCACATTTCGTGTGGCCAGAGCAGCCTAATTACTATCACTGAAAGCTCTAAAAGGTTTACTGTCACTGGCCTAGACCTTGTAGAGTTTGGGAGACCAAGAGCACAGGTAGAGCACGATGGTGCTCACTTGTATAATTCTAGCACTCTGGGAGGCTGAAGCAGGAGGATCAGAAGCTGGAGCCCCACCTGGCAATATAAGAGACTTAGTGAAACCTTGTCTCAAAAAATTAAGCAAGGGCTGGCCATAGAACTCAGTGTGCAAGCCCTGGGTTCAAGCCGCCTTTGCAAGTGAGTGGACTTGAAGCTTAAGCTTTGTCTTTTTTTTTTTGGTTTCTTTCCTGTACCAGGAATCGAACCCACGACCTTGTGCTTACCAGGCAGGAGCTGTGCCGCTGAGCTAAATCCCCAGCCCTGAAGCTTAAGCTTTGTGATCATAGAAAATCTACTCATATTTAGATCTGAGATGACAAATACAAGGGGATTTGAAGTACCAGTTACTCAGACTCCTGGTAGGCAGCACCCTTTTTGAGTTAGATTGAGTGAAAAAGTTGACATTTATGATCAGGCCCCAGAGTGCTTCACAAGAGCCAAGGGTGGGACTCCACCTCGGCCAAACACATATTGCAACCAGGGGCCCGAACCCCAGCAGGGCTCGCCGTCTTCCATCTCTGCACCTGCACATGTGCTGTGTTTTTGTCTTTCTTTGCAGGGTGGCTCCTTCTGCCTTTGTGAGCCATGGGTAGAAAACCACAGGCTCTTAGAGCTCTCCAGTTTGCATGCTGCGGCCCCAACCCCCAGTTCCTAGTGCAAGTGCCCAGGGAAGCGTCTGACTGACACCTGTCCACTCCCAGGTCAACAGTCTGCACCATGGTAGCCAGGAGGCCACTCAACTCTGTGATCAGGACAAAGACAGTCACCCAGAATGAGGCCTTGTTGTACTGTGAGGAGCAGATGTAAGAGATGTCACCGGTCAGCCTCTGACTGTAGGTCAGCCCTGTTCAAGAGAATTCTAGTGCAAGCCGTATACGTCCTTTCCAATTTTCTGGCAGACACATTAAAGAGGTACAAAGAAACAGGTGAGATTAATTTTAATGATATATTTTACTAAGCCCAACATACCCAGAACACCACTACTTCAACATGTACTCAGTATAAAAATGAGCTATTCTACATCCTTTTATATGCAGTTTTCAAAATGCAATGTGTGAGACCAGGGTATAGCTTAGTGGTAGAGTGCTTATTCTGAGTCCCTAGCACTGCACAAAAAAAAAAAAAAAAAAGAAACACAGTATTTATTTTATACTTGCAACATGTCTCATTTTAGACAAGCCACATTTGAACTACTCAGTAGCCACATGTGGCAGGTGGCCACCATCGTGGGCACACAGGCCTAGATTTCTTGGGTGCGATCTGATTTATGCTGCTGTCGGTGTACATCACCATGGTACCACTCTCCAGCGGTCAAATACAATTCTCTTGCCTAATACAGTTGTCATTATCGCGCATCTGCTCTTGGGCTCAGACAAATGTGCAGGATTAATTATCACTGGCTTTCACAGTGCACACAGCCGAATCCCATTTTCTGCCAAATTGCAATTACAGAGTTCTTTCTTTGGTGGACTCAGAGTTAATGTCTTTGTACTTCCTTTAGTCCAGAAATGAAATTAAAGCCACACACACACACGCGCGCGCACGCACACACACACACACACACACACATGCACACACAGCTTACAGAAACCTGCAGCTCTACCAGCAAATTGTTCAAGCTTGGAGGGAAGGTCATTAGACTGGTTTTATATGGAGCCAGTAAAGCATCAGGAAAACAGATAAATGTCAAAATACTAGCTTTTCAGTTTCACTCCGCTCAGCTTTCCAAAGATAACAAATGCATTTCTTCAAAGTACGTCTTCTTTCTCTTCAATTTTTTGTATCTGCGTAAATAGTATCTGTGAGGTATATTCCTTCCTTGTGTAGAGAAGAGAGCACGGAGAGAGAGAGACAGAGGAGGAGAGAGAGAGAGAGAGAGCACACGTGCACTGATTTATACAGATCTGTCCATCCTTGAGAGTCTGGCTTATACTGTCTTGTCTATAGATTATTTTTAGGTGTGTTTTATTGCAAAGACCAAATGTAATTGACTTAGAAGTCTCTTATCTTTCCTTCTGGAGGCCATTTGTAACAGTTGCCTAATAATTTCATAGCTACTATATTTTTCCTATTTATACGCCAGCTTAATGCCAAGTGATTATGGATATTATGCCATTTAATTCCTGCAACAAGGCCATGGGTATTGACACTCCCATTTTACAGAGAAAGAAACTGAGGTTTGAGATAGCCTGATATGCCCCAAGTCAGATAGCTACTAAGGAATGAAAGCAAGATTTGGATCCAAGATTTGCCTGACTCCAAAGTCTTAACTGCTGAGGTCCACATAGGATTTGGGGTCATGTCTGAGGTATAAGTCCATCCAGCCTTGTTTCTCAGGGGCTTCTGGTGGGGCTCAGGGGCTGAGAAGAGAGGATAGTGGGAATGGGGTCACTGTGAGCAGGGCTGGAAGGTGGCAAAACGGGCTCCTTTCACGTCAGAAAAATAAAGACAGATGTTTCAGTGCGGGGGAGTGCGGCGGTTCACCAATGCTGGCCCAGAAGAGCTGGACTCCCGCTCATACTGAAGGAGTTCTGTCCTCACTCAGTGGCCTTGAACAAGGCTCCTGGCTTCCAGCACTGCAGAGGTAATGGTTCTGCCAGGCCTCCCTAAGGGCTCTTTGGATTAGCTAGTTAATGGTTATATACTACTTTGAATAGACAAAGGGCCCAATAAGCTCTCTCCCCAGGCCATTTTCAAGAATAGGGCTGAGTCCCTGTTGATTATAAATGATAAAGGAAGATCAAGCCCTCTTCAGTTTTATTGCCTTAATTGAGGCATTTGGCAATAGTAGGCCAGACGGGAAACAGTATCATGTCTGCATTCACTAACCAACCTGACCCAGAGAGGAACCAGCAACGACGTTCTTAAGGGCCGAACTGGATCTTGGTAACCTCACATGGAGGGTAGGCATTAAAAAGCTGTGTGCTGAATAATAAATGCAAGAGGTTGACGTTTGCTTGAGCACCTACCACTACCAGAAAATGGATTACAAACCTCAGGATTTGAAAAGCGACCTCACTGATGTCAATACTTGGCCCGGGGATCAGCACTGTAATCATACTCTGCGTGTGGATTTCTCCGTCAGCGAATGCACTCGTAGCAGTAAGAGCAACTACCTCATTACTGAATAATCCTGCTTTGTAGAAAACCATCAAACTATTCCTCTCATGATAGGATGAGCTTGGAAGATGGAAATCCTCACTTCCAAATACAGGGCAAGTAATTTCCCAAGTTATTTTGATAACAAATATAAATAGAAAAAGTACGCAGAATATTTTAATCTTTATTTTTTTTTATTTTAAAGAGAATAGTAAAAAAAAAGAACACCAGCAAAGGAACATATCTACTCAAGTTTCCACAAGTCAGGAGTTAGTAAATTGCCCGTTAGAGGTGGTTATATCTTAATCACATCCCACACACCCCTAACTCTCAACTCTTAGAGGAAATATGAAATGTGCAGGTTTCCACAGAAAAGACCAGGCAGCTGCCCAGCTGGTTTCAAAACTGGCTGGACTTTCCTTAATTATTTAATGGCTAATTTCATGAGAGAGAAACAAACAAGGAGTCATTCCCAAGGGCCGGGGACATAACTCAGCGGCATAAGAGCTTGACTGGCAAGCTCCAGGTCATGAGTTCGATTCCTGGTACCAAAAAAAAAAAAAAAAGGAGTCATTCCCAGACTATATTATTCTTTCAACCCATAATTCATTCATTCATTCATCCTTCTTTTCATTCAGTTAAAATAAATCAAGGTCCTAATATATGCCAGGAAAGAATTGTTTTATGCATCAGTAAAGCATGAACAAAACAAAGAGCACCTGCCCCATGCCGTGAATTTATGGGTTAGTAACACCTTCCCGGGCTGGGGATTTAGCTCAGCGGCAAAGCGCCTGCCTGGCAAGCGCAAGGTCGTGAGTTCAATTCCTGGTACCGGAAGAAAAACAAAACAACAACAACAACAAAAAAGGAACACCTTCCCACTCACCAACAGAAGCAACAGAGCTGAACGTGCTTCAGATTGTAGCTTAACAAAGTGCGATCACCTTTTGAGCTAGTACTCAGATTTGCTTGTGTTGATTTATTCTTTCAGCAAATATTTACGGAGTATCTAGCTGCTGGGCTACTGTGGAGCTGTGCAAATGTGTGGTGCTATCACTGTCTAGATGGAGACGTAAGAGAGGAAAAAGCCTTTTCCCTCCACCCTCTTGGGTTCAATGGCTGGGGCTCTTCAATCAAGCTGATAAAAGATTAACAAGAGAAAAATAAATAAAAGTTTATTAACACGTGCATTGTTTGTCACCAGGGGTAACTCTGCAATGAGGACCTCAAAGAGAGGCTAGAACCTGGACTTACAGAGCATCTTTTTAAAAATTTTTATTAGTACATACTTGCAGTGCATAACGGTTACATTCATTATGGGGAGTTGCTACACATATACAGCACATCTTAGTGCTTTTTTCATCTTCTTCCCTCTCCACTGTTCCTCCTCCCTCCATTTCTTGGTCCCCTTTTCTTTTGTTTCTTGTCACCTAGATTTTTACAGAGCATTTTAAAAGAAGAACAACACATGTTTAGAAAAGTGACAGGACAAAGGAAAGACCAGATTTTTAGGGCAGCAAATCAAAGGAGGTGATCAGAGGGGGACTACGGGAAGAGAAGGGCTAGTGAGTGAGGTTTGTTACTCATAGTATTCCGTTACCTTTTCTATCTGCAGCCATCTCTGGTGATCAGCTTCTGCCCTCCTGGTGGGTAGCGGAGAGGGCACGTTTACAAATGTATGCCCCGTCTTTAGGCAAATAGGCTGGCAGAGAGCTTAGCTTGTATCCACTTCTCGACTGTCATCAGCTCAAAATAATCCTTATGTCAAACATGATATATTTTGGGATAGTGGATTCTGATAGCCTAAAAGAACAAACACTATGAACATAAAACATTTATAGAAAAAAGGAAAGATAATACAAGGCATTAAATGTCATGAGCAGAGTAGAGACAGTGCTGTGAATCCATATCAGGAATTTTTTTTTTTTTTTTGAGACAGGGTCTTACGATACAGTTCAGGCTGGCCTTGAGTGCACTTTGTAGCCCGGGCTGGTCCCAAACTCACAACAATCCTCCTGCCTCAGCCTCCTGAGTGCTGGGATTACAGGTGTGTGCCACCACACAGGACAAGTGCTGTGAAAACTCAGAGAAAGGTGGAGTTTTCATAGTGACTGCTACCCTAGGAACACTTTATTTTTTTTATTTTTATTTTTATTTTTTTTGGTTTTTCTCCGGTACCAGGAACCGAACTCACGACCTTGCGCTTGCCAGGCAGGCGCTTTGCCGCTGAGCTAAATCCCCAGCCCCCGCTAGGAACACTTTAAAGGATGAGGATGATTTGCCCGTGTCAAACAAGAGAAATGTGGGGCCTACGGGCCTGAAGGACTGATTAAAAGTAACTGATATTTTCTAATATATGTGTTATTAAAGTAAATTTATGGAGGCAAAGACTTCAAAAGATTTCATTTATTCATGTGAAGTTTTAGAGTGACTACTGTCCTCAATTCAACTGAACATTCAAGGTCAACCTACAGTGAAAAGTCAGGAGTTGAAAATTGGTTTGTATCTCACATAGCCACTGTGGAACTAGCTTTTAGAAATATTGTGTTGCTAGTAATGTGGAGGCTTTATTAAGGCTCGGTAGAGAAGGACCTGTGATAGATTAGTGATGTCTGCTGCAGGCACACGATGCCATCATTGATCTATGTGCCATCTCTGGGTTAAGACCAGATACCTGAATGGCCCAGTGAGAGATGCTCTGTAACAGTGGTTTTCAAGCTGTTTTAGCAGTAGAACCATTTGTTCACATGAATTCTTATCCAGACTTCCAATGAGGACAGCTCAATTCTTTAATAGATGGAAGTCGCCAGAGGACACTGAGAGCATTGCATAACAACAACAAAAAAAAATCACTGCATTGTGAAGTGCTACTTTCCTTGTGACGGAAGGACAGCACGTGACAAGGATGGACTGTGCTCATTTGTATATATTAAATTCCCCAGAGGGGTGTTAATAATCACCATTTTACTGATGTAGGAACTGATATCCAAAGAGGTTAAGTAGGAGGCTCATGACAGCAGTGGGGATAAGGTCAAGAGCCGGAAGCCAGGTGTCCTCCCTCTCACTTGGGCTAGGGTGCCCCTGGTCTGTTGTTCTGCAGCTCCACAGCTCTTGCCACTGGGCTAAACACTGGTAACTTCAAAGAAGAGAGCTGAGTTTTGGTTGAAATAAATTCAAGGCAAAGGGGAAAAGCGCTACCCTTCTTCCAAAATTCTGCCTCGCTCTGCCTTCACCCTCGTATCATTTTCCACAAGCTCCTTTGTCCTTGACACATTAGAGGTCTGCAGTCCTGAGCAGCTCAGGGCTCTAGCAGAGACTCAAGTTTCCCGTCACTTTATGCTGTTTGCAGGACCTGCAGCAACCTAAGCATGACCCTGTCCTGTTTCTTTAGCTGTTCCTAAGGAGAGCCTGTCGTCTTTGTTTGGACTGGAACACGGGATGGGGCTGCACAGGGATGGCATGGACAGACAGTGGTTGCAAGTGAGTACACAAGAAAGGCATTTTGCAAGTTTCAAAGCAATTTCATTTACCCACCAGATCCAGCCTGCTGTCCATGGCCACCATCACATCTAGCCTGGACCTCTGCCAGTCGCCTCTTCTCTCTCTCTGTCCTCCAGCCTCACAAAGATTCCTTGTTTCCCACCTCTCAATAATACAAATCTCATCAGGTCTCTCCCTGGGTTAAAACCCTTCAAGAGCTTCCACTGTCCTTAGTAGCAGTGAAAGAGCACTTCCTTGTGAAAAAGTGCATGTGTGTATGTGTGCGTGTGTGTACATATTCTCTCTCCAAGGAAGCAGGTTTGCAATGTTTAAACTCAAATGTGACATTAAGATGGGCTTCACTCACTGCCCAGCAGGGTGTATTTATTTATTCATGTCCATTTATTTAGGTCCTGGCTTATCCACAAAGGAACTGGAGTAGCTGGGTTATATATATATAAATTATAATATATATGGGTTATATATATATGTATATGGG